TTATTCAGATTCTCATAATCTAAACAACCAGTAAAGTATACCAACGTCTCATTTCATATTCACCGATTTATTTAAACGGCATTTAAGCAAGTGATATAGTTTAACATAACTGAATAATCAAGTAACCAGATAACCAAATAAACAATGCAGGATGAATTAAATAAACCAAATAATCGAGAAAACCATAAAAACTATCAATTTAGATACGCACAGAATAATAGTAAGTAGTTTAGGAAGTACAAAAAAATAAATAGGGAATCAGGATAAATGTGAACTAAACGGTTTCGCTTCTACTAGTGACCTGTAATTATTTTTATAATTTTTCTAATTTTTCACAAAATATACACAATTATTATTGATTATTAATTTTCAATTTACCGTAACAGAGAATAGGGTAAAGAATTCTTATCTGGATCGGTGTTTCGAAATATCGTACTATCTACTATGTCTCCTAATGAGTTCCAGATTTTCTGAATTTTTTCTGCGGGAATCAAATGTCTGTCACGTATCTAAAAATATTCCAAAACTATCGATATTGAAAACCCTTTTTGGCCAATTTTAGGATTCCAGCGTAGCAGCACCACTGTGTTCCGACGCCGAATCCGCCGCCCATGGCGGCAGTTCGCCTCGGTCTGGCCAGTTTTACATGTATTCCTGCAGAAAAACACGTTAAGCGGCCTCCGTTAGGTAGAAAATCAAAAGAAACCGAACCTACTGGAGGGGTTTTCTTCTGGTGTGGCGGTTTCGCTAGTTCTCCTTTAGCTAATCTACATAGAAAAGGATGGTGAACACAATTGTCGAAAAGTTGTGTGAAATGGGATGCGGGAAGGGGCTCATCGGAGGGGTTTTAGGGTTTTGGCCGTGGTGGCTCCATCAGGCTTTACCCGCAGTTTCCAGCTCACTTGTTGTTTATTTTTACTTCGATATGGCCACAGGTCGGAATCGAATTCCGAGCAGGAAGAAGAAAATTTTACCTTTTTTGGCGGTCGGCTGTGGCTCTGGTGCAGCAGGGACTGGAGATCGATCTCCTTCTCCGGTGTCTGGTTCTTCTTCTCCGGCGGGGTAGGTGCGACTAGGGTTAGGGTTCCTTGAGACGCGATGTTTAAATACCCATTTCGTGTCCATCTGGGTTGTCTGTCTGTGTCAATGTGGAGCAAGTTGAGCTGTCTGATCGTTATTTGTTTAGGTTGATTGCGTGGGTGAATTTGGACCGTTCATCGCAATTGATCTCGTCCGTCCGATCGAACTTATAGAGGGAATGCATCTGAGCTGTCCGTGATCGGGAACGTCGGATCGCCAGACATGTGGATCGCCAGTGTGACGCCAATGTTAGCGTTTTTTGGCATGCAGTGTGCTCTGGTTTGCTGTGGCTGCTGATTAAGCTGTTCCACGTGACCGAATTTTTTCTTTTTACGATTTTGCTCTCTGTTTTCAAGTTTTTTTTTAAAAAATACCCCATTTATTCAAATTTCACCAATTTTCTCCAAAATTGTTTTCAATTTCGTTCCTATTTTATTTTTTTTCAATAATTTAAATAAAATTAATTATTTATACAATTTTTATAAATAAAAAAAAATTATCCTGTATCGATTTTTGGGTTCGGTTATTACATACTGTATAAATTTAGATATATCCACACTTGACAATTGTGAGATAAAAGTATAGTAAGAAGATGACAGCTTCTTATAAGATACAAAATTTGATAAAGGGTGTCGAGTACATAATCGAGTCCCTTTTCTAAGAGCAATAAGGAGGTCTAGAGGGTCAGAATGTACTTGTTCAATTGGAAAAAACTTAGATTTTAGACACTTAGAGATTGTACCTGATTCTTCAGATCCTGATATCAGATCAGATTCTTGGCTTTGAGGACACATAGTTGCATCTTTCTTACTTTGAATCGGATTTCTTTTAGTGTAAGTTTTTCCGAACAACCTCTCATCATCGAAGCGTGTATAATCCATTACGCTAGTGTATTTTTTGTGTTCAGGCACTAAGGTTGGTCTCATGTTTTTCTTATCCAAAATATCAAAATTAAATATTGCAGTTTCATTACTTTTATAACTATCAGAAATATTTTCTTTTCAAACACCGAGTCTTCATTTTCCTTTTCCCTTTGAAGATGAGGACTAAAAAAGCTTTGTGATTCAAGGAATATAATATGCATAGTGACAAAATATTTTTTTATTGTAGGATCAAAACATTTATACCCTTTTCGTGTGGGAGAATACTTTAGAAAAGCACATTTTATTGCTCGTGGATCTAACTTATTTCTGTTACGATTATGTATTTGAACAAATGCAATACATTCAAAGATTCTTAACGGTAAATTTGATGTCAATCGAGACATTGAGAATGATTTTTTGAAAATTATTAGAGCTGTCAGAAAATTCAAAACTCTTGATGGCATTCTGTTGATTAGATATGTAGCAGTAAGAATTATTTCTCCCCATAAGTATTTAGGTACATTATTGGTAAACATTAAAGATGTAGCTACTTATAGAATGTGCTTTTTTTTTTCTTTCTGCTATCCTATTTTGTTGATGAGTGTTATTGCAAAAGCTGTGATGGACAATTTATTTTTTCAAGAAAAACGACCCTAAGATTTGATTAAAATATTACTTTCCATTATCACTCCGAAACGCTTAAATTTTTGTTTGAAATTGGGTTTTAACCATGGTATAAAAATTTTTAAAAACATATTATGTTTCAGATTTTTCTTTAAGTAGATAAACCCAGCTTAAACGTGTATGATCATCAATAAATGTTATAAAACATTTTTTTTTTAAGAGTTGGTTAATGTTCTAGAGGGTCCCCACACATCACTATGAATAAGAAAAAAAGGCATAGATGGTTTATATGGTTGAGTAGGGAATGATGCACGATGGTGTTTAGCTAAGTGGCAAATTTCACATTGCAACAATGTTAAATCTTTATTATGAAATAAGTTTGGAAATAAATATTTTAAATATTGAAAGGTAGGATGACCTAACCAATAGTACAATATCATTATTTGATCACTAGTAGAATTAAAGCATGTTCCAAGATTTGAGGATTTCGGTTGCTGACACAAAGAATTTCCATCATCAAAGTAATAGAGACCTCCATGTTCCCTAGCATTGCCAATCATCATCTCATATCCTGATCCTGAAATTCACAGTAGTTTGGAAAAAATTTAACTTAACATCTTAAGTCTTGAATTATTTTACTGACAGACAAAAGATTACAACAAAGATTTGGAACATGAAGAATATTGTGAAGAACAAGAGTGTCAAAGATAATAATTGACCATTTTCCAACAATTGCTGAGTGAGCCATCAGTGATTTTAATTTTTTTATTGTCTGCACAAGGACTATAAGAAAAAAACAGTTTAGAACAACCTGTCATGTGATCCATAGCACCTGAATCTATTATCTATGGACAAAGAGGAATAGTTGACACATTAAAAACGGCAAATTGAAGGTAGTTACCTTTCTGGGCTGAGGAACAAGAGAAAGGTACAGGATTAGAGAATTGTGTGGATTGAAAAAGTTTATACAGTTGTTCTAACTGTTCCTTACTAAATGAAGGTGTTGCAACAGCAGATTCTATGTTCCCATTCTGCTCGGTAGTGGAGTGAAAGGCCTTTAGGTCATGATTTGGTTGATTGAGAGTCCTTGGTTTCCAATTAGGGGGGTTTCCCATGTAACTCCCAACAAATTTCTCTAGTATGACGTGGTTTATGACAGTGTATCACTCCATACTTTTTCTCCTTTCTTATTTGCCCGTGCCTGGAATGGAGAATTATTGTGATTGCTTTTGGTCACAAGGGCTGAAACTTCTGGGGTAAATGAGTTTCTTTCCCCTAACATAACTCGACATCGACCTTCTCATCGCACTTCTGCATGCACTTCCTAGATTGATGGCAGTGGAGTTTTGCAAAGAATCCAGCCTCGAACTTCGTGAAGATTTTTATTCAATCTTGCCAAGAACTCAAAAATACGGTCATTTTCCATTCTTTTCAAATAACATGCACTATCTATTGCATAAGCCCAATTATCCTCATAGTAGAGATCAAGTTCCTACCATAATGCCTTCATCTTGTTGTAATACTCAGAAACCTCACGATCACCTTGCCGCCAAAGCTTTGTTTTCAACTCAAAAATCTGTGAAGAGTTTTTGAGATTTGAATACGTTTCTCGGACAGCATCCCACACATCTTTCGCAGTGGGAAGAAACAAGTATGTTTTCTCAATTGATGCCTCCATGGAATTGATCAACTAGGCCATTACAAGGGAGTTTTTTGACTTCCAAATCCACCATGTTAGATCGGTATTTTCTGGCTCCTTTGTCTCGCCGGTGAGATAACCAAGTTTGCCTTTGCCATCGACCACCAACTTAATAGATTGCGCCCGTTTCAGGTAATTTTTTTCGTTCAGTTTGTGAACGGTTAATTGTATTGGGGAATTTTAATTCCGTTGGGGATTATAGATCCCAACGGTAACAACATCCTGACGTTATTTTCAGGAGATGTGGCAGTGGAACTGATATCCCTTACTCTCACTTTTCTAGGTATGGTTGTTTGCGCCATTACAAAAAAAACTGATAAAAAGAGAAGGATTTAAAAATAAAATTTATTTAGGCCAAGCTAGCCGACCTGGCTCTGATACTATGAACGCAAACAAGAAAACGAAGTTTTTTTCTTCTTTATTTACTGTTTTTTTCAGCAGGTACAAAATGCTGAATTTATAGAATTTCACATTCATATTTAGTTTTCCTAATTTTAGGAGTAAATAACTATATAATTAATAGCAATAACTCCTAAAACTTACAACAATAAATCATAAAAATATGCAATAATTACTAATAGAAATCTACAATAATAACTCCTACAAATATGCAGTAATAATTTTAAAAATGTGCAGTCAATTCTTTCCATATTTCTACAATAACCAACTGAAATAATGCAACTTTGGGCTTGGGTTTGCATTTTGATGCATCTAATGTATGTTTCTTATTATAGGTGGAGCAAAAATAAGTTGCAGGTTATTGTTGGCACGGTATGTATTATTTAGTTATTTCTACATTATCAATATTGATGTCAATTTGACTTTTTGGTTTCATACGCTTGTTTCCTTGACAGGTTGCATTTGGGATGGGAATCAACAAACCAGATGGTTAGTATTGCAAATTTACCGCTCTTCTGATTCAACTAGAAGCTTCTACGTTGATGAGGTCCTTAACAATATTCTACTTGGTTGTCATAGTTCTACTAATGATGGTTCCTTGAACAATTTCTATTGGTCTTGCATTTAATTGGAAAAGGTCTGTTGGTTTTTTTTTTCTTTTTTTTTCCCTTAAAAAGAAGATGGCATTGGTTATTAAGGGAGTTTCATTTTTCATATGTGTAGAGCTTTCTCTATTCCCTTAATCTCCTAATCCTTGGTTTTATTGGGATGAATTATCAGGATATTATAATACCATCCATGATTATGCATAAAGATGGCAAAAGCTTATGTCCAATAAATCAAACTTGATCAATAATGATATTGCAGCATAACTAAATAAAAGGCAGTATAAAGATGAAAAAGATCAGAATTTTCTCCATAAATCAAAAGGCACTCTTTATAGTTTTAGGGGGTGAGGTTACTCTCATTCTAGTGCCTTTCTAGCATATTTCATTAGTTTTGTGTCTTTTTCTAAAAGCTGTATTGGTATAACTGTTGAAGTTGAGAAAAGTATGGAGAGATTCCTTGGTGCCCAAGAAGGATGAATCTGTTAAGGTTATTGACTTTCACTGGATTAGCCTAGTTAGAAGTGTCTGTAAAATCGTCCCTAAGGTATTATCTACTAGGTTGAAAGAGGCTTTAGATAGTACTTTTTCTCCTAAACAAATTGCTTATATCGCTGGCAGGTCATCCTAGATGCTTCCCTCATGGTGAACAAAGCTGCAAAGATTTGAAGGAAAAAGAGAGCAAGTATGTTTCTAAGCTGAATTTTTTTGAGAAGGTCTATGATAGATAGATTTAATTGGGTTTGTAGATGTAACCATGAGTACAAAATTGTTTTTAAGATAGATGGAGATATTAGCTTAGATGTTGTCTTTCTTCGGCCACATTTTTAATTATTATAAAAAATGGGAGCCTAAATCTTGGTCTAAAAGGTTAGCATGCGGTAAGGCAGGGAACTCTCTTTCTCCTTCCTCTTTTTTCTATTGGTAGATTTCCTTAGCAAGATGGTTGAGGGAGTGTGAGAGGTCTAATGAATGGTGTGCCATGGGGATGAGGAGGTGGAGGTTTCTTGGTTATTGTTTCTTTATGTCCTCTTTTTCTGTCAAGACAAGGCTACTTTTGCCTCTATCATCTCTCCCTTACAAATTTTTGAAGCAATCTTCTGTCAGAAGTAGTTTAGCATCAATAACATTGAAAACCAATATGAACTTGGGGTTTTATTAGAATCAAGATTCCTTATTGCTCCTATAATCTCTAATTTCTTAGGAGGTCCCTCAAGACAATATGCTTGGTCCTCATTGACGGGACCAAGTCCAACCTTGAAGGAAAGGTCAATTGATAGAGGAGAAGATGGATTAAAATCTACCATTAAGACATCAAGCAACACTTTCACTCCCAGATCCCAGAAAAGGAACCAACCTAGGATTGTCCTCAACAGGAACATACAGATAGATGATAGTCTAATTTAACAATATTGCGTCCAACTGATTGAGCAAGAACTCTAATGATATTATCCAAACCAGGTAAGTTACTCATCAAAAAGCATATTAGAGTCATGTGTTAAGAAAAGAACATCATCCTATGCAAAATGATTGGAGATTTCCACCCACTTATCACCCATGTGTAAATCCATCAATAGACTTTTCTCAATCCCATAGGTCAACATCCAGCTCCAAACATTCAGAACTAGTCTAAAAGAAAGGGGGAAAAAGGGCCACCTTGTATCAACCTATGCCAACTACAAAACTAGGATTAGGCTTGCCATTAACCAATGCAAAAAAGACAACAAAGACAAACAAATTAAAACAAAATGCCTCCACCTTTTACCAAAACATTTTTTTACCATGACCTTATCCAAAAAGAACCCAATTAATTGTATTGAATGCTTTCTCAAAGCCCAATTTGAAAAGCAATGTGTTTTGCCTCAACCTCTTTATCTTCACCACCTCTTCATTTGCAATGAGAGAAGCATCTTAATGATAGCACTTCAATGATAATCTTATAATCACTAGTAACCGAGTTAATGTGTTGAAAGTTGGAAATCTTAATCGATTTGCCCTTTTTTAAGAGTTAAGGTGATAGAAATGGAGTTCGCGCTAATATGAGCTTTACTATTCATGTGGAACTCCTCAATCACCTTAGTTAGATCCTCTTAAGTATTATGAAGCCTTTCTAAAGAAAGCCAGGCTAAACCATCAAGACTAGGAGTCATACATTAAGATTTGGCAATAGCAGGTATACTGTGTGAATGGGGAAGAGATGGAGTACCTAAGCTCTATCAGTTTTCTTGCAAATAACAGCTCTTGCATTTGGATTTGGATATGCACGCCTTGGTGCTGTCAGATAAAGGCAACCCATCTTTGTTGGTTGGTATGGCCTATCTACTACTTGTTGAATAGCTTTGCAAATGCGACAAGAAGGCAAAATATGTCCTGAAATCTTCTTATATGGCAAATTTATACATTTGAATATTCAACTATTTGGTAAAACTAAGACTGTAGCCTTTTTTCCTGCTAACAATTGCATGTGCATGTGTCTTTTCTTGTTGTCCCTTTAATTTACTTCCCCTCTCTTCCTCTTTACTTATCATTCACTCCATTTATTCTAGTCTGCTTGCATGTATATTCTTATTTTAATGTGAAGGACTTTTTTGTAGTCAGGTTTGTCATCCATCACAGCTTGAGTAAATCCATGGAGACCTATTACCAGGTTCTTGCTTCCCTAAACAACCATCCTAATTCTCATATAGTTTCTTTCTTTCTTAGAACATTTTTAACTGCAGGAAAGTGGTCGTGCTGGAAGAGATGGCCTCCCTTCTGAATGCATACTCTTTTTCCGTCCTGCTGATGTTCCTAGGCAGGTAACCTTCTTTTTGCATTTCATTTTCTTTTCATACATTCTATTTTTTTACCATTCTTGCTTTTATGTGTTCTTGATCACTAAGAAGATGCTTCTTTATGCAGAGTTCAATGGTATTCTATGAGAACTCTGGTTTGCAGAATCTCTATGACATAGTGCGATATTGTCAGGTACGTGTGTAAGATAACTATAACTTGTTAGTTCCATTGAAATAACTTCTATCGGCTGGAAGTTTGAAACCTTTCAAACTTCTTACTATTTTTTATTTGAGGAAGGCTGTAAACTGTTTTTTCTTTTGTGATGGTTAACAGCTTCTTGGGCTAAAGCTTTGTGGTTGTTTTGAATAAAGCTTATGCGCTTGGGGACCTAGTGTTGATAGTATGCTTATATTTTGTGTTAGGCATGCCTTCAAACAGTACTAAGTTGGTTCCAATTATCTTAGGAAGTTTTAGTTTTGAGGCCATTCCACAAGCGTCTCCAAGTAACCTCGTTACTCTTACTTCTCCTAAATTACTACTTGGATCTATTTATTGCCAATAGTTGAGGATAGGCATCATAACAGAAATGCATTTCGTCTGATCCTAAACAGAAAAATGGGCATGGTTATCAAGTTTCCGAAGAGAAGTAACTTTGCCATTAATCCAATGATCATAAGTGTCAGAAAAAAAGGTAAATTGAGTTAAAAGGTATGAGGGTAAATTGTACTTTTATAATTAATTGAAATTTAGCTGTATATTTTCTTTTCCGTCCTAGAAAACCTGCATATATAAGGTCGTAATATTTAATAGAATATATATTAAATCATTCTTAATATGGTATCAAAGTTTTAAAAAATATCTTGATTTTTTCACACATGCTAAACTGGATTTGTTGCCAGAATAAGAAGAAAAAAACCCTAAACTCGTATGCAGCCTTCATGATCAGCCTTTGAAGCTGAAGAACATCCTTGCCACGCCTGAAAATAACTTGTTCCAGCACGTCATGCTTTGCCTCTGTTTTTTGCCCCTGTTTCAGCCACAATAGCAGCCAGCTGCATGCTTTGTTTTACGCTGCTCAGCCGCACACTCTGTTTCTTCCTGTTTTATGTGCTCTGTTGTGCAAACACAGCCCTAGTTTTATGCCCTGTTTTGTCTGCTTCTGCTTTATTTCATGTCTTGTTCTCTGTTTTTGTTCGAAAATTTGCTTTATTTTTGCACAGATCTACTTTGTTTTTAGCTCTATTCTGCTCTGTTTTCTATGACATGTTCTGCTCCATTTCAGCTGCTATTTCTCTTTTTCAATCCTTTGTCCAGCCACAAGCAACACCTCTAACCGCTGCTCCCTGTAGCCATAAACCAGTCCAGTTGTGCAGCCACCAGCTGTGAAACCAGTTAACACCTGTGCAGCCAACCAACGGGCGTTTGCCCTATTCGTTTTTTCTTTCAATAAAACAGCTCCAATCAGCCACTCTTTCAATTTGTCTTAATTACTGTAAGAACTTTTAAGTCATGTTGGAGATTTCGTCCCAAGTCATTGCAGCAAATCCTTACATGATAACTTTAGATTTTAGTAAATTCAAAATAGAGATTGAAAGACTAAGAACTCAACTTGAGTCCCTGGAGAAACAAACGGGTACCGATTTATGGGTAAACTTAGATACGACTTCTACCTCAAATGACTAAATTTTTCAGATATAACTCTTTAAGAATTCTTGAATTATAAACTCAGAAGTCACATATCATATCACCAATACTTTTGAACAATTTCATATATATGCTACATGTCCAAGTAAAAAAAAGAGTTACTGCATAAGACTACGTCAATTTTATTGCAGGCAAGAATGATATTAAGTTTAGTCGTATATTTATCTTAAAAAACGCATCAGATGTTCCTAAATTATGTATTAATCTTGTGTTAACTAATAAGTTATCCCAATATTTGAATTATAAAGTAATATTTGACTCTTTTTATTATGACTTTTAGGACCAGAATTTTAGGAAGATGATTGGATGTGCTAAAATTAGAAATAAACTCTACCACTTGGATATAATTGGGGAATCCTTATCTGCTATTACCACTGATACACATACAAGATTTGATTCCATCATAAAAGATATGGACACCCATTTGTTTTCTATTTTAAAGGTTATTTTTCCCTTCTTGTTTAAGAATTTGAATATGAAAATTTACATTGCGAGATCTATAAGTTTTCAAAACATATACGTATAACATTTTATATTAGTAATAAACAAAATTTAGTTCTATTTTCATTAATTCATATTGATATTTTGAGAATCGACTTAATGTTTTTGTCCTTTATTGACAATTGCACTAGTATCACTTGTTTGTTTTTACTTAAAGTCAAATATGACATTAATCATATCATTACCCCATTCTACAACATGATAAAAACCCAATTCAAAACTGTAAAAAAAGATTTCACATAGAGAACGCAAAAGGTTTTTTAACCACACACTTCAATTATTCTTCTATCGTGAAAGAATTTTTCATGAATCATCTTTGCATTTACACTATTTCAATAAAATGGAATAATGAAACGCAAGAATAGTGATCTTTTTGCTACCACTAGAGCTTTCATTTCTCGAAACAATGTCTCAAAATGTATTGGGGTGGAGCCATCTATAGTATTAACCACCTGACCACTAGCGTTTTTTATTTTAGAAGTTCTTTGAAAGCATTTCAAAAATTTTACCCAAGAGTAAGTGTCACAAATCATTTGATCTGTAAGATACTTAGGTATGTTGCATTTATTCATATTCATTCCCATCAAAGAAGGAAATTTGATTCCCTAGCCCTGAAATGTATACTTATGGGGTAATAAAAAAGGGTATAAACGTTATCATCTATCCATCCAAAAATTTTTTGTTTGCAGATGTCATATTTATTGAAAAAAAAATCTTACTTAACCTTATCTTCAGAAGAGTCTATATTGAAAGGTAAGGATATGAAATTCTTAACAGACTTTACCCTACCACTTTTGCTACACAACTATTTGCCACACATCTCAACACTATCACCATAAAAGAACCTTCAGAATCCACTAGAAAATTCATCTACTCAAGAGATCATTCCAGCCTTAGGTTTTCTCATGTGTGTACACAAGAAAGATATGGAGTACTGAGCCTAAGCCAGTCTAAGAGTTCGATCTTGATCCTGAAACTGAGTTAAGTTCCAAAAAACCTAAATAGTTTGATAGTGATATACCTATTCCAGTTCGTGAAGATAAAAGGGACTAAACGCTCTTTTTCCTATCTCACAATTTGTGTCATTTGATAAATGTTCATCATCTCTTAAAGTTTTCTAACAACTTTGAATATTAAGTCTATTCCTAACACAGTATTTGTAGTATTATCCTGATAAAAAATAGAGGAGTGTTATGAATATAGAAATGCAGAAACTTGAAAAAAACCAAACATGTAAAATGGTAGATCTATCTAAAGATAAGAAATTAGTGGGATGCAAATGAGTCTTTATAATCAAATAGAAAGCAGATGAGACAATAGGGTATGAAGCGAGACTAGTGGCAAAAGATTATACACAGACTTATGTGATAAATTACCATGAGACATTCGCACTAGTAGCCAGGATAAGCATTGTGCGGATCTTGTTGTCATTAATTACTCACTTTGATTGACAACTGCAGCAATGTGATATAATAAAAATATTTTCTTATAAGGAGATTTAGAAGAAGAAATATACATGGATATCCTACCAACTAAGGTTTGTAAACTAAAGAAGGCTCTATATGGATATAAGGAAAGCATGATTTGTCAAATTGACAAGGATGATGACAGGTTTGAGATTTAAGTAGGTTCGAGGAGAACATACTTTGCTCATCAAACACTCAAAGACATGGAGAATTAAAAATTTCCTAATATATGTTTATGACATTATCGTAATAGAAGATTTATAAGAAAAAAATTGATATTAAAATAATGCCTAAGAAAAGAATTTAAAATCGAGGAACTTAGTAAGTTAAAGTATTTTCAGAAAATTGAAGTCGTATGCTCAAAATACATTTATAGTATGTTGAGGAACACTAATAACTTAGCATACAAACAAGTTAGCACTCCTATTGATCATAATAAACAAATTAGGAATAGCATAAGAAGATTTTTTTTTTTCTTTTGAAAGAAAAAGTATAGAGATTATATTAATAAGGTACCAAACAAGAGGGGTACCCACCCATATATAAAAGATTTACAGATTAGTTAGTATATCCAAAACATTTCCAAAATCCTCATCCCTGATAATGTCATGACCAAGTATAAGAAATCCAAAATAATTAAACCATCTCTCTCTTAACTCGTTAATATTATTCACAACTCCCTCAAAAGCTCTCAAGTTCCTCTCTTTCCATAAAACCCAAAAAATATATAAAGGTATAGGTTTCGCAATTTCTATTCTTAATCCAACACTTTCCCAAGCCCTAATTTCACCCTCAATCGACCTAGCAGGGACCCAACAAATGCGAAGCAGACCATAAACCAAACTCCATAATTCAGAAGCAAAATGACACCTAAGCAAAAGGTGGCGGCAGTTTTCCTCATCCCTAAGGCACATGAAACATCTATTTGCGAGAGTAACACCCCTTGACTTCAGTTCTTCTTCTCCATAATGACAGAAGAAGATACATCAATAGATAAGTAAATGTATTAAAAATTAGTTGAGAGATTGATATATTTATCTCACATGAGACCTTTTATGCAGTGAGTGTTATAACTCACTTCATGCACAGTAAAAAAAAAAGTGTATCTATAAGCTGTCTACAGATTATTGCATTACCCTAAAAGATTACCTGGGAAAGAAATTATGTTCAGCAAGCGTGATAAATTACTTCTAGAAATCTATACTGATACAGATTATGTAGGGTCAGTTATAGATAAAAAGTCTACTACAAGATATTGTACCTTCCTTTGAGGCAACCTAGCCAGCTAGAGAAGTAAGAAGCAAAACATAATTGTGAGATGAAGTGCATAATTAGAATTTCGAGTAATAATATAAGATGTATGTGAACTATTATTGATAAAAGAATTTTGGAAGGTCTTAGAATTATGTGCAAAATTTCTAGGTGCCTATATTGTAGCAACAAATTGGCTATAAACATCACTCATAATGTGGCGCAACATGATTGGAACAAACATATTGAGATCGAGAGATATTTTTCAAAGAAAAACTTGATAGTGGGCATTTGTACACGATACATGTCTACCAGTCATCAACTGGTATATGTATTAACTAAAGATTTAAATAGCTCAGTATTCCAAACTTGTATTGGCAAGATAGGAATGGAAAACAATTACTTTCTAGCTTGAGGAGTGTTAAAGAAAGGGTATATTAGATCAAAAGAGTATAAGAGTAAATTACATCTTTTGTAATTAATTAAAATTTATTATCTATTTTTTTTTTCATTCTAAAAAATCTGTATATATAAGACTATAATATTTAATATAATACATATCAAACCATTATTAATAAGTAATTATTAGGATAACCAAAACGAGCTCTTGAATAAATTGAATTTAGGATAGTGGGGGAAATAGGAGAGGAGGTGAGGATGATGGTATTCCCTAAGACATATACCTGCCAGAAAAAAAAAAGTTTTGTTGGAGATTAGGTGATGTAGGACAAAAAGAGCTTAAAAACTAAACTTAGAGAAATTTTATGGACCAAAACTTGGAGAAGTCATATCTTAATTGGTAAAATAATATCTCAATATTTTAAATAATAATAATGAATAATCTATCAAATAACTAAGGTAGGGTTACCTTCTTTATGGGCACCAAATATAGTTAAAGATAGAAAATTTAGAGAATCTAGTGAATAAGAAAATACGCTCAACAAAAGAACTAGGAGAATAGTTAGGAAATGAATATTAAATCTTCCTATTCCTTTTAGAAGCTTTATTAACAGAAGAGGAAAAAAGTCCAAAAAGGAGAATAATACATCCTTCTAATGATATCATCAAGAGACAAAAGAAAAAGAAACATAATGTACAAAATGAATTAACTATTAATGGGTAAAGATGATAGCCTCCCAATTCTGATGGAGAATGGAAATTACTATTCGGGAGAAATATTTGTGTGACTTGCCCCTTAAGGTTGCCAAAAATATTGTTCTCTCCTATAGCTCCTGAAAAGGCATATGTATGTCATTGAAGATTCTCCGGTTCTCGTAAGCCATATTTGCTTCTTTTCTTAACCCATTGTGCTTTATGCCTACATGTAAGAAGGTCTCAACTATAGGAAGAGTGACCTAATTAATTCCAAACGTACTAAACAATTTGTCCACATCTTCCAAGCTATCTCATAATGGAGTAAAATTAAAATAAGGTTCATCTCATCTAAAGTACATGATACAAATATCTAGTTATAGATAGCAATGAGGGCGAGAATTTTGTAGCATCTCATTGGTATTGAATCTTTGATGCATAATTGTCCAAGTAAACACTTTTACCTTTAATGGAACAAGCACTTCCTGAAACACTTTTAGCAATATTAAACTAACTTAATGACTTGGTTTTTATGAGCTATGAAAGAAAGACTTGCAAGTGCATACCTCTGAGGGTTCCAAAAACCAAGTTCTGGTTTCAGGCTGAGAAGATAGGTGAATTGGATCCAGTAATTCGAATAGATTTGCAATTCAAGGGTGTCCTCGCCCAAAAAGTTACTAGTGAAACAGAAGTTCCAAGCAACGCTCTTGTCACTAGTTGAAATGAATTGTGTGATTGGGATATTATGTCTAGATGATAGGCTAAAGAAGCGAGGGAACTAAAAGGCTAAAGGTTAATCACCCACTTAGGTGAGAGTGCTCTTTTATATTAAGTTATATTTGTGAAGTTTTCACTAAAAAAATTAGGGAGTACAGAAAGGTTTAGTGGATGCCTATTATGGGGGGAATGACTATACAGCATTGCGAACAGTTGAGACAAGAGGATGATCCCTTCTATAATTGTTACTTTATTATAGTTTTGGCTGGATCTCCAACTATCTTTTTTTTTCTTTATGGTGTTCATGGTCTACACTTTGATGGTTATAATTGATTGGTGGGTGATTATGGTAAAAGAACTTCTTGCTTAAATGGACATTCAAAAGAGAGAAAAATAAACCATTTCTTTAGTCTCTCCATCCCTACTGCCAAAGAAGACAAAAGTTAGCCTTTGATTTAATGGAATCCCTTTACCATGGTTGAAGATAACAAGTTATTGAACTTTTTTTCTTATGGGCATCTAGGAAGAGCAGTAGATATATCAGATAACTTCATTTAACTGACTTAGAATTTTATTGGTTAGTGCTAACCCCTTGGTTCCTTATTTATAATAATACATCTTTCTATTAGAAAACTAGCTACATGTTTGCTGCCTTTGCCAACTCATTTATTCCATGTGTATTGTATATTCACTTTAGTGAAAATTTAATTGTGAGTCGAAATAAATTATACTTGAATTTGGTCATTGGGACCTATGGGCCAACACCTCTACGTCTTTATTTGACCACCTCCTCCCGACAACCAACAAATTGTTGCCAAGGACCTTTTGTAAGCTTCAATTCTACCAAAGGTAAGGGTTTTTCTTTGGAAAGCCATTCATTGAAGGCTCAATGCTAATGAAATGCTTTAAATCCATCGACCCAACAAAACCTTGTCTCCTAACATCTGCTGGATGGATGTGCTATAAGGATGGGGAGACACTCTCACATATTTATTCATTATGAGATGGCATGAAAATTGTGGACGAGGATTATGAGATCATGTTTTTATGGAGAAGGGGTTAGGAAGGTGGCAAAGCCTCTTTGGCAGGGGTCTCTTTTTGCTGGCTTGTGGTGCATATAGTTTTTGAGAAACTACAGGATATTTCAAGATTGCTACTCATCATTTCAGGAGCTATAGGAGAGGATGATGCTATTTGCCACCTTGTGGGCTAAAACTCATGGGAAGTATTTCGATTTAGCAAGCTCCAAGCTTTCATAGGGAATTGGGAGGCGATCATTTTGTCACCATAGTCTGCCATTGTTGTCATGTTCTTCATGCATTTGATTGTTCCATTTACATTTATTGAGGAGCATGTCTTATTTTCTCCATTGATTCTTAATAATTTTTTTATTTTAAAAAAATTTAATTATACTCGAAAAATTGCTTGTTTGTTACATTTTGGAGCAAATACAACGAGCCAATGTTGTCCTTATTTCCTATCAAGCCTTGAGCTTCATAATATATAATTCCCATGTTCCTATAATCCGGTTTTCAACTTGGCTGGTATTTTACGATCTTCACAACTACCTAAGTGCAGGTGCAACTTTTATGAAAATGTTATAGAGCCAGCTAAAATATTAAACAAATTTCGGCAGTTAAGAAACAACAGCATATGATTAGGATATCATGGTACATGTGGCAATCTAAGGATAGAAGAAAAAATTAAGTTGTCGGTAGAGAAGTTGGGGTAGATTGGTTTAGCATTTTCGATCAAATATTACTAGCCCAGAGGAACTATGATAAAACTAACACTTTTTACATAAAAATCTAGAAATAAGATACCTTTCTTTTATAATTCTGTTTGATCTATCTCGTTATTGCAGTCTAAACGACAATGTCGTCGAAGTGCTATTTTTCACCATTTTGCTGAGCCATTACAAGACTGCGATGGTAATATTTACACTTAAATTAATCACAAGTATAGTAATATTTGCTTCTTCAATTAATTTTAAGAATTTTAAGCATGTTATATTTGATTTAGGAATGTGTGACAACTGTGCATTCTCAAGTGACATTAAGGAAGTGGATGCATCTGGTATGTTTGGACCCCGATATATTTGCTCTTAATTTAGTTTTTTTTTATTGTTTTTTATTTTCTTAAGTAAAGCAAATGCATTAAAAGGTGTCATGGTGGTAGAAATCCATATAGCTATGGGTGTATGTTTACAAGACAATTTGTGTGGATAAATTCCATGAGTCACTGTAAGAGTTGAAACTGATTCATGCAACACAACTTCAAGGTGAGTGAGTTTTACATTTTTAAACCACCCATTATTTTTCATTGCAAAGAATATTGTCTTGACCATGTTCTATCTTTTTTAAACGGGCTAAGGATAAAACTGAAAATTAGATGATAACCCCTATAATGATAAAACAGGTGTCAAAGATAATCAGTTGTGCCTTACTAGGATTTTTTGTGAACGTAGTCTCTTTAATATGAACAACTCTACAAAAGCAAGATTTGGTGTTTGGAGCATGAGGTTGTGGGGTCACTTATTTAAATTCCTTCCATGGAAAACTTTTAAGTCGAGAGCACACACAAAAGGGAGAACTACAGAGAAACAATAGGCAAGTTCATGTTACTGTGACACAACTAGATGACACAAAAAAACAGAGGCAATAGGAGGATTGAATGATTAAGAAATTGAGAGGGTCAGATCTCTTACCAATAGTCTGAGCAAGCATTTAGTTACTTGGTCATTGGCATATCTAGGTAAGCTTCCATTTGTTATTGGTTTAAATGTTTCAAGTACAACCATAGCCAACTCCTGAGTTATGGAATCAGAAGCCATGACCATATGACTCACTCCTCCAATAACTTCTCCACCTATTCCTTGTGCCCAAGTTCTCTTTGACCTTGGTAATTCACATATCTCTTGACCATTGCTCGGAATTTTAAGTTTACACTCGACCTTGCACCTACATTTTGCTTCTTACCTCTTTACATAATTAGATTACTCGCAGGGAAGGTACAGTAACACGTGGTAGATATTTTATTTACCATTGACTTTGCGTAATCTGTATCTGTATAAGTTTCTAAAAGTAACTTGTCATTTTTTCTGAACATGATCCCTTTCCAAGGTGATTTTTTCAGGTAATGCAATGCTCTGTAGGCTGCATGTAATTTTAAGATTGTGCATAAATTAAATTATAATACTTACTGCATACGCGACATTGAGCTTTATTTGTGGCAAGTATATCAGTCTTCCAACTAAAATCTTATATATTTTCTTATCTATTAATGTATCTTCTTGTACAAGTCCTAGTTTATGATTGGCATCTATAGGAGTGCTAGTTGGCTTATATATTAACCGATATCTTTTAAGAGGTTATAAATGTATTTTGCTGAAAGATGAACGTCACTAATTTTGAGTGAGTGACTTTAATTCCCATAAAGTATTTAAACTTAACAAACTCCTTGATTTCTAATTTTTTAGTCATGCATTGCTTGAGCCAATTTCTCTTTTTCATCATCCAATGATATAATAATGCTCAAAACTACAAAAACTACCAGAGAGTGGTTACTCTACTTGCCTCAAAATGCTTGATAAAGAAAATGTCGTCTCATTTAGCTTGCTTCTATTTCAAGTCTGTCATCACCTTGCAAATCTTCCAAACCATGCTCTAGGGGATTGTTTGAGTCCATAGAGTGCTTTATTCAATTTACAAACTTTATGGTGGTCTTGCCTCTATCAAATCATTGTGGAATCTTTCATACAGATTTCTTGCAAATCTCCATGTAAGAATGCATTCTTCACATCGAATTGTTGTAATTGTTAGTCAAAATAAACAATTACAATTAGTATGTTCCACACAATATTCATCTTAGCGACCAATGTGAATCTCTTGATAATCTATCTTGTATGTTTGTGTGTATTCTTTTGCCAGTAGTCTTACTTCATATCTCTCGATTGTTCATCTTTCTTGTATTTTATTATAAACATCTATTTGCAATCCTCATGCTTCTTCTCTCTGGGCAAGTCCATTACTTCCCATGTTTGATTTTTCTCTAACGCCTTGTATTTTAACATTCATTACATTTTCCCATTTTCCATAGGATAATGTAGGAGAGACAATGTTAAGGATAAACTAGGCATTCGAACTTGTAAGAAACTTTTGTAGTACTGTAAACATTTATCAAATGATACAAACTGTGAGATAAAATAAAAGGGGTGCATGCTTTGGTTCCCCTAGAAATTGCAAATGGATAAATCATTATCAAATTGCATAGGTATTTCAAGGCTTACTTTAGTCTCAAAATTCTTGTCAGATCCTTGAACATGCTTCGATTCAGAACTCAAATTTTTTCTCGTATATAGTTAAGAATCTTTGGTCAGATATAGTTTCTTGATTGAATGGGTTCTCTAGTAGTTTCTATAGTTTTTCTTGTATGGTGGTTGAATATGTGGTAAAAGTGTTAAGGTAAAGTATTCTATATCTTTATCTTTCAATAGGCTTCCCATATATATGAGTTTAAGAAAAATATGAGTTTTGTTCAACAAAAGTAGCATCTGTAAACACATAGAATTCTTGTGTAGGCAGATTGTAACGCTTATACCATTTTGAGAAGAGAAATATTCCACAAACACACATTTCAAGACTTTGGGATCAACTTTTTTCAATTTAGTGAATGAATGTAAACATGGGCAACACTCAAATATTTACAGGAACATATAGTTTGTAATACTTATGAGTATAATTTGGATAGGGTTTCTAAAGGACTTTTGAATTCTAGGGGCAGTCGAGGGTAAGTAGTTAATAATATTTGTAGTGAAGGACGACTTCACCTCGATATTGTTTTGAGAATGTAGTTTTGGAATATAAAGGCTCTAGTGGTTACAAATGGGTGAACATTCTTAAGTTCCACCACTCCATTTTGTTATAGAGTATGAAATCATGATGATTAATGAATAATCCCTTTGTTGGTGGAAAAAGGAGGAGATTATGTGGTTAAAAAGGTTTTTTGTGTTATCATGCAAAATTGTTTTATGTGGGTTCTAATTGGGTTTTATCATTTTGTAAAACTGAAGTATTCTGTGGCTAACATCTGATTTGAATTTTAGTAAAAAAAATTATGTGACCATAATACAATCATCAATAAATAACACAAAATGTCAAGTCACGCAAATATTGGGAATGTGAGATGACCCCCAAACATCACTATAGATTAAAACAAATGGAGACGATGACTCGTAGCATATGCAAACTGTTATTGATAAATATCATCTTAAAGATCTGAAGACTAAATTGGATGTTCTAGTGAGACTCTATTGTGATAAGTCTATCATTAGTGTAGTCCACAATCTAGTTCAATATGATCGAATGAAGAACATTAAAGTCCACAGACACTTCAACAAAGAAAAATATTGGAGAACGGACTGATCCATGAACCATTTGTGCCTATGCGTAATCAACTGGCTGATGTGCTTACTAAAAGACTGAATAGACCAGTGTTTCAGAATATGGTTGCAAGTTGGGATGGAGAACACCTATTTACTAGTTTGAGGGAGTGTGTCGGAAAATGGAAGTATATATATTTTTGTTTTTGTGTTATATATAGAATTAAACCTATTTAAGTAGGATCCTTCCATGGATAATAGGATTTCAAAATATTTGGGTTTCCTTTTATGTAACTCTGATAAGATATAAATATGTGTAATCACTTATATCTATTCAATGACAAATACCATTTTCTCCAAAATATATCTTTATTTACTAGGGAGAAAACTTGGAAAAGATTGTTTACATCTTTAAAATCCAGATTCGGATATTTCGGAAAAATGTAAATCTGAAACTACTTCCTCATGGCCTAAATAGAGATAGTTCATAATTATAATTGCCTCCTTATTTCTTGCCATGAAGAAAAGATCTAGAAAACTCACTCTCAGAGTGGTATAACTGGGACAAATTAAGTTGACTCTCACTGATCAAGCTTTGCCCCTGCTTCTTTGAGTAACAGAACTAGTATGGTAGAGATTATTTGTTTGCCTAGAATTTTATTGTGTGAAAACCTAGTTGTACAAATGACAATGCTCCCCCTAATACTCCTAAATAGTGTACTACAGTTTCTCATAGGAATTCCAGTAAAAATACTCCTAGTTAGAAATCTAATTTAGCAAAACTGAGGTTCGTTCAGAAAATTTCTATAAATGCCTTCAGCTCTTCCTAATATTCCTGAAAGCTCCCCCTTCTAAGGGAGTCACTACCTTTTCAGACCACTTTTCGTTTGTGCCTAGATAATTTTTTTATGACTAGAGTATAGTAAAGAAAGATAACAGAAACTGAAGAAGAGACACATATTTAAGAGGTAGAACAAGAACAAAGGGATAAATCTCAAGAGAAGGGGAAGGAAACCGAAAAGCAAGAGATCGAAAGGTAGTAGATTTCTAAATAACAATAGCAAAAAACAACAAATTCAACACAATACCAGTTTGGTTCAGTGGTTTATGCTCCCTTGGTGGAGCTTCTCATCCAGGATCAAATGACAACCAGAATGTATGATGAAGAAATCCTAAACATATCAAACTGAAACCTTCTAAGAAGAATGTAAAACAAGCATCTGATTAAACTAAGCTCTCATCACTAATCTTAAAAAATATCGGTAAACAGTAACAATTACATAAAAATTCTCAGAACATATTCCAAAGAAATTACTTCCATTCTGCATCAACTGTACTCAGTTACCACCATCCATAAACTTAACATTTCAATCATGAAGCTGAAAGAAATTTTTTATCAACTTAAGTTTTTAGGATAATCTGTCACTTGGTGAAATTATTTATCTCACATCTATTTACATTTTGAAGGAATCCTCTTTGTGTTCTATATTAGACTTCGAATGGATTATTGGAAAGTAGTGCTCTGTGTGTTGTTATTCTTGATTCAATTCTTGATATGGAAATGCTTTTTAGGTCATGCAAAAATTGTGGTTTCTTTGCTCCAAGACATGCGAGAAAATGATCAAAGATTGACAATGTTGCAGCTGGTGGACAGAATTAAAAATAAGCACAAGGAAGTAGGTTAGTTCTCTTGTTCAATGTTTCAGACCTGGGCCCCATATTAAAACTGTGGGATCTAAAGCCATCTAATGAATAACAGACTTGTATTATTTCATATTTCACATCTGAATTTTATTTTTTTGTATTGAATTCTTTAACATTTTAGAATATGTTTACAGACATGAATCATCACAAATGGACATCTCAACTCATTTTATTTTCCAAATTTACTTGACCTTATACAGTCTGGGAAAATAATTAACTAAGGGTTTGCATTAACTTCTTATTTTTAGTGCTTTTAAGTGCGTTGGGCTTTTAGTTCCAACGAGCTTTAAGTTCATAGACTTTAAGAGGTAAAGAGTTTGCATTTTTCATTTTCCCTTTTTGACTAAGTTCTATTAAGTTTTAAAATTTTTAGTAAAATTTGAATTTTGAGCTGAAAATTTTGTTTTATTAAGGGTGTTTTAGTCAAAAATAAATTTCAAAATTCTTGTTTTTCCAGTCAAAGATTTTTTTAAGAAAAAACTAATCCTGAGAACTTTTATTCTTTAGCTAAAAGCTTTATGGCTTTTAGCACTTTTAAAGTGATACAAAAATCTTTGAGTTTATTTTTAATTATAATGTGCTTTAAGCCTTTCTAGTTACTAAAATCGACAACCCCATTAATTGGTGTTGTTGACCAGAATATTCTGTTGCTCTATTAGTTAAGATAAATTTTTCCCTATTAGTCATTCTCATAATCTTTTCCATAATGATATAATTAATTAAAACCAATTAGAATCCTTACTATGATGTTAATTTTCTTATTGTAGATAGAAATTCTGTATAAATATACTCCAATTGTAACAACATAATTTGCATGAGAAAATAAAGTGAATATTTTTGCTTTACAAAAATCTTCATAGTATCAAAGTCAAATAAGGTTATTTTAGAATTTTAATTTTAGGGTTTCTTTCAAACCTTAAAATAACACAATAAACTGAGTTGATACTCGTTTATCTAGATCTAATCTCGCCACCACTTCAGATGGAGTTGTAGCCTCACCACCAGTTTGCTCCCTCGACTCCGGTGACTAGTTCACGCGTGTGTGTCTCACTTGCTATCGTACGAGTCGCCACCAGACCGCCATGCACCGTAGTAAATTGGTTGGAAATCACCATAGAACCAAGTTAAATTTGGCATGGAACTCATGAAATCATGCCAAAAAATGACGAAAAACTCCATGGATTTGTGAAATTGTGCGTCTAGCAACAGCTTTGCTTTGCCCTCTTCAAACTGTCCTCACTCAAATCTGACTGATTCTCTGCGATCCAGCCCGTATCTTGTTGCATCACCGCCAGACACCTATATTCGGGACAGATTTTGGCTTGTCACACGCAGTTCGACTCGAATCGTGCCTCTCCAGCTTCTGCTTTCACGTGACCGCCGCACACATAACCTTTCCAATCTAGTTCCTCCCTATGCCGACCCAACTGGCTCTCTCTGGACTCGCAACATATTTCTTTTTTTCTCTGCCCTAATTCTAGGGCTTTCAACTCCATTGGTGTTGGTTCAAAGTTCTATTCTATCCCTTTTGAGATTAGCTGTTGGGTATTATTTTTTCCCTGTTACTTTAAATCATGACTAAAGTAAAGAAATGGTTATTCCTAGTTTGGATAACTCGTCATCGACTATTGGTGTTTTAAATATGGTAAAATCAGGTATTGCTCATCTCTTTACTATCTCTAGTTCTGATACGTAAATTCTAAATTCTGGAGTTAACAGATACATGACAGACTCTTTTAAAAAATTTTTAACTTATTTTTCTTGTACTAAAGGGGAAAATGTCCATATAATAAATGGGTCAAATACTACTGCATCTGGAATAGGTTCCATTAACTTTACTACCACCATTACTCTATCTTCAGTTCTTCATGTGTCTAGTTTTCTTATTGTCTTTTATCCATTAATGCCATCATTAGAGATTGTAACTGTAAAATTAAATTTTTTCTTTATTACTGCATCTTTCAGGATATTCAAATAGAGAAAAGAATTGACACTAGTAAACTGCATGATGGTTTATGTCTTCAATAAAAATCAAAACTTAATTGAGATCCAAGCTGCCTTCGGGAATACGGAAGTCATTCAGGAAATCTTACAATTGTATCGACAATTGGGACATCATTTTTTATTTTAGAAAAATTATATCGCAGTTTGTTTAAAAGAACTTTCATAAATTTCTTATTTTGTGGTACATGTGAACTAACTAAATATAGGAGTTCCTATCATTTAAGTAAACATAGAAGTTCTATCTTTTATAACTACTCATTCTGATATTGAGGAACCTACTCGAAATCTCTTTATTTAATTATAAATAGTGTGTTACTTTTATTAACTGTTGTACTATATTAACATAGATTTATCTGTTGAAAACAAAAAAATTATATGTTTTCATACTTTCAATCATTTCAAAAAATGATATGTATACAGTTTGATGCTAAAACTAAGTTTTTAAGAACAAACAACAGTACAAAATATATGGACTGTGGATTCTGTGTCTATTTGGAATCTGATAGAATAATCTATTATACAAGTTGTGCATATATCAGTGAACAAAATGGTTTTGCTGAAACTAGAGGTAGGTAGGTCTTTTATATTCACTATGAATTTACCAAAAAATTATTGGGAATATATAATTCTTTTTACTGTTTATCTTATCAACAGAATATCTTTGAGAACTCTCGGTTTTAGAACTCTTTTGGAGATTTTGTAAAGAAAAAATTCCTATATTGTTCTCTCAAAAGTGTTTAAATGTATTTGTCTTATCCATGCTAGAAATGTGGACAAGTTGGAACCCACGACTCTTAGGTGCATATTTGTTAGATATTCTCCTACTCAAAAAAATTACAAATATTATCATCCTCCATTTAGAAGATATTTTGTAACTATGGATGTTACTTTTAGGGAATCTAAACATTATTCAATTCAAACTCATATGTCTTCAGAGGGAGAGTGAGAAGGAAGATGTTATGCTCAGTTTGTTAACTCTTCACAGTCATCTAAGAGGAGTTCTACTTTGAAAGGTCTCATTCAAGGAGAAACCATCGGGCGCCTGGATAAATAAGACAACTAAAACTGTCATGCAACCTGTACCAGGTCAAAAATCTTATTTACTTCCTAAAAATATTGGTGAGTTATCTTTATTTTGTGATTTATCTAATAATATGGATAAATCCATTGCTCTTAGAAAATGAGTCAGGATTTGCACTAAACATCCTATATGTAAATTTATTTCTTATAACTCACTATCTCCTTCTTATAGAGTTTTTGTCTTATTTGTTTTTTCTGTATTTATTCCACAAGGTTGAAGAGAAGCTTTAAGAGATCCCAAATAAAAGGAAGTTATAATTAAATAAATGAAAACAAGAATGAAACTTGAGCATTTGTTTCACCTCCATTGGGAAAGAAGATAGTTGGTTGCAAATGAGTTATTACTGTGAAACACAAAGCAAGGCCAATGGAAAGGTACAAAGTTAGATTGGTGGTTAAGGGTTTGCTCAGATATATGGAGTTGACTATTAGGATACATTTGCACTTATCACGAAAATAAATATAATCAGAATATTGTTGTCTTGTATAGCTAACATTGATTGGAGCTTACAAAATAGTTTGATATCAAAAATGTTTTCCTCCATGAAGACTTAGAGAGGTATATATGGAAATTTTCCATAGATTTGAAAATGAAAGACTATAAGAGATGATTTACAAATTAAAGAAGGCCTTACATGAGTTGAATCAGTTTCTAATAGTATGATTCGAAACGGTTAGAAGAGTTATGATCTGTTTTCGATATCAACAAATTAATGTTGATCATACCCTATTTATCAAATATTATGAGGATATGGTTACACTTATCATTTTTTACCCATAGCAATGACTTGAGCGCGGTGGCCGAGTCGGAGCCCCACGAACAGGAAGGCAGTGTCGACAACATTTACTCGAGAAAATCACTGTGCAACGAAGAATCAAACTGCGTATTTTGGATCTGCGAATGTTGTTTTTCAAGAGGGATTTGATGAGACTGGTTTAATAGAGAGTTCATGGCTTGCGTTTCTTTGCTACAAGGCTGCATAGTTGACGAATATACCTTCCAGATAACGAACATAAAAATGATCTCTATAAACAATTTTAGAAATCGACGACAATGAAGATGAATTTCTAAGAGTTTTTAGATGAATAATAATAATGATAATAATAACCAGTGATCTATTGACTAAACTGGAAAGAAACCAGTTGCATCCAGGGTATGAGATGTTTATAGATGATGGAGAATGTAGATGATGTTATGGTGACTGGAGATAATATAAAGGAGATAACTCAATTGAAAGAACTTCTAAATGATTTAGGAAAATTGTAGTATTTCTTGGAAATTAAAGTTGGCAGATCTAATAAAGAGATTTTCATTTCTCAAAGAAAATATATCTTAAACTCATTAGAAGAGACTGCTATGATAGATTGTAAATCGGCAGAATCTTTTATTAAAAGTAATCACAAATTACATGCGAGAAATGGTACATCAATTGACTTCGTGAGATATCAAAGATTGGTTGGAAAACTTATTTATCTCTCACATATCAGACTTGATATTGGATATGCAGTTAATCTAGTGAGTCAGTACATAGCATCACCCTCACGACCCTCATTAACATGCCATTTTTCACATATTGCGATATCTAAAATTTGTCACAGGAAAAAGTCTGCTCTTCTCCAAAAATGGTCACCTTAAGATAGAAGCAGTTGCAAATGTTGATTAGGTTGGATCTTTAAATGATAGGAGATCAACTACTGACAATTTAATTATATAAAAAAGTAAGAAACAAAATATAATTGTTTGTCCTAATGCTAAAACAGAATATAGAGTAATGGCCCAAACACTATGTGAACTATTATAATTGCAAAAGTTAATGAAAGAATTAAAGTTGTTTAAAGAGAAGAGTTTATCATTGTTTTGTGACAATAAAGCAGTCATTAGCATAGCTCATGGTGTAATTCATCATGGCTGAACAAAATATATTGAGATTGATCGATACTTCATAAAAGAGAAAGTGTCTGATGGCTCATTATACGTATCTCATGTGTCTTCTAGTGAAGAAGTGTCAGATATCTTTACTAAAGAATTTTATAGCAAACTTTTCTATAACTTAGTTTAAAAGTTGGGCATGTGTGGTTTCTTTGTACCAAGTTGAGGGGGAATGTTGAATAGAATATTTTGTTGCTCCATTTAATAAAAATATTTTTTCTCGATAATCATTTTCATATTCTTTTTTATAATGATGTAATTAATTAGAATTAATTAGAATTCCTACTATAATGTTAATTTTCTTTTTTGTAAATAGAAATTATGTATATATATCCCACTTGTAACAATACAAATTATATGAGAAAATAAAGTGAATATTTTTCCTCTACAAAAATCTTCAGTTGTCAATTATTTCAAAGGTTTACGTTAAAAGAAAAAATATTATTAGTTATTGATATTCTAATAGTAAGAAGATGTGTGCCTTAATTGAGTTTACTGATTCACGAATGATTAATCATATTCTAGAGTTGTATCGTTAGATATTCAAGTCTGTTGGATTTAATGGTAGAATACATATAGAAGCTAAATTATGGTTAATTTGTCTATTTTTGAATTTGGAAATAAAAGCCTAAACATCACATCTAGAGTTTCTCATACTTCACAATTTAGAAGTTTTATGCATCACACTTTAGGGTTTAATAGTAAAATACAACTAAAAGTTTAAGGAATTTTTTTTATTGAATATCTGAATTGTTTCAAAAAGTGAGATCATCTATAAAGGTGATTATAATATTTCCAAAGTAACATTTCCGACATAAGATTGTATTAATAACTAGCGATATTAATAAATAAGAAAATAAATAGTAAAAGAATAAAACCTTAAAACTATTAAAATTATAATAATAGACTTCTAAATAGTAAAATGGTTTATATTTAATTATAATATCTAATCTATTTATGTAATCTAAACTTAACTGATTCTGTATCATAAAGGAGGTATATTTATTCTACTTTTTCCTACATCAATTTGTATTGAAGCTGGCTATGACAAATTTAAAACAAAAACCCCATTCAAATTATACCTATTGTTTTTTCTTTGAAGAAAAAAAAGAAGACCTTAAAATTTTGTAGGGTTTAGTAGTTATCAACCAGTCAGTTATTTTCAGTTAATGTTTTTAAATTTGTGTTATCTGTATGCTTTTCTTAAGGGAGAAAGTTACTATCCTTAAGGAAGCGGTTATCCTGTATTTTTATGCCTTAAAAAGATGATGTTAGCGTTCTCTCATAATGGGTCCGGGCCATTACTAATGATAGGTCAAAAACGAAGAAGAAACCAGATTGTTTCTGGTTCCTCTTTAACAGATTTCACCTCAAATAACCAGATCCAAGGCTTTTGAACATACCATAAATCCAAGGACATATTGGAGGAGTAAGAAGAAAATTCACCAACTCTAGCTCATGATCGTAAAGATTTTGAGATTCCTCATGATTTTTCACAAAAAGATCTCTATGGAAGTTTCATGCAAGGAGAATTAACGCCAACCAGTCAATAATATTGATTTCATTTTACGACTAGGATTTCACCCTCCTAAAACAAGTGCAAAGTTTTGCAAAAAAATTTTCGAGAATCTAAAAGGTTGTGTCATTTTATATGTTGAAATTCAAAACTTAAGGTTGAGTTTTCTTCAACAAAAGGATGACAATGTAGAACAAGTTATCTTTAAATTGCCTAATTGTGTAACAAATTAAAAGTCTTTAAATAGACAACTATTATTCTATTTATACTATTACTATAATTTTTAATTATTTTATTGTTTTTAGCATTTAGTTTTTCTATTTTTGTTAATAGTTACATTTCTTAGTGTTGGCTACAATATCCTGTTGCTTAATTAGTTGAAATATTTTTTTTCTATATAGTTATTTTCCATAATAATGTAATTAATTGCAATCCCTACTATAAAGATAATTTTCACGTCACTAGATAAGAATTCTGTATATACACCCTATCTGTAACGACATAAATTGTAGGAAAAATAAAAGAGAATATTTTTCTTTAAAATTTTACATAGTATCAGAGTCAAATAAAATTATTTTAGGGTTTTAATTTCAGAGTTTATTTCAAAGTCTAAAATAATAAAATAGGCTGACTTGGTACTCACCGTCACTCTAGACGAAGTCGCCGCCTCTAGTTTTTATCATGCGTTGCTGTCGGCACGCCGGGGAGCAGGTCGAAGCCACGTTGCATGCAAACCTGAAAACCGCCGCACAATTCCGCTTCTCCGATTGGATTCGCCACCAATGCCCAGATCTTCTTCCATCGTGCTCAAGAAGCTTTCAGGCCGTGTCGTGTCGCACACAGATCTGAACTTCGAACTTCTTCTTCGACTGCGCACAGAGCCGTGCGCAGGAAGCTTTCTGGTCGTGCCTTTTCGCGCACAGATCTAGAACTCTTTTGCCGCGCCGTACTTCGCTCAAATTTGGTTTGTTTGAGTGAGCTGAGCCGAGTGAGCCGAGCCCGAGCTGTTCTGAGTTGAGACAAGCTATTTTTTTAGCCGAGTCCGAGTTGTTTTGAGCCGATCCAAGCCATTTTTTGAATCGATCTGAGTCAAGCCTTTTTAGAGCCATTTCGACCCTTTTTTAGCAGAGCCGAGCCGAGCTGCTGCCTGACAAATCTGGTTCCAATTTGTAGCGCTTTTTTGGCATTCTTGGTGTTGATCAACGGGTCCTTTCTATCTCGTTGAGATTAGAAACTGAGTATTGTTTCTTCCTTATCTCTAGTTATTCTAAATAATGACGAGTAAAGAAATTGATTGTTTCAAGTTCGGGTAACTCTTCATCAACTGTTAGAGCTTTTTTGAAAATGAGATTTAAAGCCTAAAGCATCGTATATCTCCATTAAGTATTTATCAACTATTAGTACGTCAAAAATTGTGAAATTAGGTATTACTCCTCTCCCTGTTATTTCCAATTCTGATACTTGAATTATAAATTCCGGAGCTAATAGACACATGACAGACTCTTTTAAAAACTTCTTAACTTATTTTTCTTGTATTAAATAAAAAAATGTCCGTGTAACAGATAAATCATATACTTTTGTATCTGGAACATGTTCCATTAATTGTACTTTAACCCTTATTCTGTTTTCAGTTCTTCATGCTTAGTTTTTCTAACAGTCTCTTGTCCATTAGTATCATTATTAAAGATCTTAGCTGTAAAATTAAATTTTTCTCCAGCTATTGTGTCTTTCAGCGTTTTCAAACAGAGAAGACGATTAGCATTGGTGGACTGTAGGGTGATTTATACGTTTTGAATAGAAGTCAAAGTGTAATTGGGAATCAAGTTGCCTCAAAAATACGT